ATAATATAGAAATAATAAGAAGATAATATACATATTATAAACAGAGAAATAAATATATAAAAATAAGATACATAAATAACATATAAATAAAAGAATAAAAAGAATACAAATAATTAAATATGATTCATCAAATCATCTATTTCATTAATATTTCATACAAAATGAATAGAAATGATCATAAAATATAAACATAAATATTTATATATTCTGTATTTATCATACTTTTTATTTTTTTATTTTTTTTAGGAGCAAAATATAATAAATGGAAAATTCTATGGATGCAAATTTTTTTGCATCTTTTTTCTTTTTTGTAAATTATTTAGATGCATTTTTTCTTTGCTAATTTTCGTACCTGTTTGAATATATTATTATTTTTTCTATTTCTTTTCATTTTGTTTTTGATGATGTTTGACATTTTAATCAATTTTTAATTTGAATATAAAGTTGATGGTTTGAAATATTTTACTCATTTACTATTTAAACAATTGAATTAAAATGTTGATTAAATCAAATGTTAATTACTTGTTTATAACAGTATTATTGTAATAGTCTATGACAATAAATCCTTTTATGCTTTAAAATTATTATATCTCATCCACACAATTTTTTAAACTCTTGTTCCAATGAATGTATAATTTCATATAATGAATATTGAATTGTAAATGTATGTTCATTTTTATTCTTGAAAATTATATTACAATGTAAGTACATTAAATATTATTCATGTTGTAGTCAAATTTTTTATTCAATAGTATGTTGATTTAAAAAAATATGATGTTTAAAAAAAAAACAAATTTACTAAATTAAATAAAAATGAATAATCTGATAAAAAAAACTGATTTTCAGAAAGTCTAGCATTCTAAATACCTTATCCCAGTCTTTGAAATACTTATTTTGAGATAGTATAAACTGAATACATTAAACCAAATAAATAATATTTAGATAAACCAAAAACAATATAATATCTTTTGTTTAAAACTGATAAAAATATTAAAAATAAGATAAAGAATATTAAATTAATTGGAACATCAACAATAATATCATTCTATCTAACAAGATACTTTGAACAAAGACAAATAATAATCTAATGATTTTGCTCTATTATTAATTTAATAGGTTATTAAAAAGGAATACTAATTTCTATTTGAAGTACTTATTATTTGAGAAAAAATTCTTTTATATCCTTTTTTCCACAATAATTTTTTAAGTTACAGTAGTGAATATATAATAATGATTTGAATAAAATTAAAAACAAAAGATATTAAAAATGTTTCTGTAGTTAATGAATAAGGAATATACTATAAAAAATGATATTATTTAATTTAGATTTTTTAGAAAAATATTTTTGAACTTTTCTTAGGAGTTTATCGTCTCAGAAGAGTTAATAGTGTGTGTTTATTTACTCTTTTTATTATATTTTAATAAACTACTAACTTTCCAATGTTTTAAAAAAGTAACTCATTTTCTCTTATTCAATTTTTTGTTAATATTTATTAAACTGTATTTTTAACAAAATATAAAGAAGTGAGGTTTAAAAAAATACAATTCATAAAAATATCAATTTACTATTTTTTCTAAGACATTCTCCAAATTTATCAGGAAATGAGAATAAAATATATATTTTTGGTAGTTTCATTTAAATCAAGAATGCTTCAATAAGATACAAATCACTAAGAAATTTGAATTTTTCTTTTTTTGTTTTTGATTAATTGTACTAAAGGAGTAAAAAAACTAACAAAAAGAAAGAAATTAGAATTATAATTTTTAAACAACTATTAACTAATAAGAATAAAGAAAAAAAAAGAATAAAGAATTTTTTCTTTTTAAAAAAAAACTATAAAAATAAATTCAAACTGAAAATGATATAAAAGTAATAAAAAGATGAGCGTTTGTTCTTATGACAAAGAAGTAAATAAGAAAACAAAAAATAAATAAGAAATAGAATAAAAGTACATGTGGATGGGTAGAGTATAGAGTAAGTAATTCAAAAAAATTTACAAAAATATATATGGCATTATTCCCAGATTGTATTAGACTATTTACTGGAGAAGATGTAAGTAAAGAAAAAGTTTGTTTAACTTTTGACAAAGCTGTATTTAGTAGAAACATTTCAAATAAAAATAAATTTCCACAAGATAAGATTGAAATTGGATTTGAGATTGTTACGGATAAATGTTATCAATTTATTTGTTATAACAAAACTGACTATTTTCAATGGATTAATACAATTCCATTATTCTGTAATTTTACTGGTGTTTTTGGATATCCATTACAAGCAACTGCATCAAAAAAAAAGAGTGGTTGGAGATTTCCTTTACCAATTTATCGTTCAATTGAATATCTAAAAAAACATGGAGGAGTAGAAACAGAAGGAATATTTAGAGTTAATGCTGTTTATACATGGATGAATAGAGTAAAAGAATTATTAAATTCAGGACAAGACATTAAAGATGAAGAATTTGGTCCAGAAGGAGTTCATGTTGCAGCGTGCATAATAAAATTATTTTTAAGGGAATTATCTGATTGTTTAATTCCAATGCAATTTTATCAACAATACGTTTCTGTAGGAAATACAGAAAATGTTCAAACTAGAGTAAAAGTTTTAAAACGATTAGTATCTAGTCTTCCTGACACAAACAAATATACTTTGTGGTATCTTTGTGACTTCCTTGTAGATGTATTAAACCATCAATCAGTCAATCAAATGGGAGCTTCTAACTTATCAATTTGCTTTGCACCTTCTATTATTACTTCACCTGATATTAATCCAACATTAGAAATAGAGAATTCAGCAAAAATTCGTGTTGTTTTTGAAACATTTTTAGAACAATTTAATTCAATTTTTGGAGATATTGCAACAGAAAATAGAAAAATGGGAATGGTTTCTCCTCCTTATCCAGCTGTTACTCCTACTGCTGCAGTTTCTGATGCTATTGTAGCAGAACAAGTTGCCCAAGAGTCTAATAGAAGAAAAACTTTAAGTTTTAAGGGTAAAATATTTTCAAATACATCAAATAATGATGAGAAGAGAGATGAACCTCCTAAATCATTTTTAGGAAGAAAAACTCATATGTCTCAAGAAAGCTCTATCTCAGACCGTACAAATACAGCGCCATCTTCGGTTCAAAGTTCTGTTACTACATCTGCTATTGGTTCTACTCAACAAACTTTAGGACATCAAATTATTGATGAAAAAGAAAGGTTTGCTTCATTAGAAGAAAAAATAGCTTATTTAATGAGTAAATTTGAAGAACAACAAACAACAATCCAACAACTTACTCAACGTATTGTGTTTTTAGAACACCAAGTAGCACTAAAGGACTCTTCAACAAAAGGTAATGAAGAACAACAATTTGGGTTATCACCACCTAAAGTTAAAGTTGACTTTTTGGCTATGAGAAAAACAATGAATAAACCAATTCGTCAAGAAAATATTGCTTCAAGTGCACCTCCTTCAAACAATCCTATTCTTCAACATACTCTTGAACAAAACTATCAACACCCAGATGACATGGGTACTCAACAAGAATATACTATGGAAGATGCCCAGTCTCACAAACAAGAAATACCTGAACAACCCCCTCAACTTCCTCCTCCAAGAAGGGGAGCTTCATCTGCTAATAGATCTTTAAATCCAACTTTATCTTCTAATGACTCAGTAAGGAGAGGTGGTTTTAAATCAACTTCATTAAGTAATTATGAACAACCAACAACTAGTGTTTCAGCTCCTCCACTAAACCCAGGGTTTAAAGGAAGAGGTACACTTAGAGGGGGGTATCATTAAATGAAATAACCAAAAAAACATAATTAACATCAGTTGTTTATTTTCTGTTATATGTAACAAAATTTGTTAACACTTCAGTTTAGAATTGTTAAGTTGAAATTAGAAAAAAAGGAAAATAAGAAATAGAAGAACTATAAACTTAATAAGTTTAAATATGGCACAAGAATTGTTTGTTTTATTTAACCAATAACATATTGTTTTACCAATAATAAGAAGTGAATATTCAAAAGACTAGTGATTATTTATTTAAAATATTAATGATTGGTGATTCAGGTGTTGGTAAAAGTTGTTTACTGTTAAGATTTTCTGTTTGTATTCTTTAATTTTGACTTTAATATAGAATTAAGTCAAATAAAGTATTTGGTTTCATTGTGGGGAGTAAATACTATATTTTTAGTAATTTTTAAATTACATCATAGTTTTGACTAATCAATATAGGATGACGTCTTTTCAGATACTTATATTACAACTATTGGTGTTGATTTTAAAATTAAGACATTAAAAATCAATGGAAGAGATATTAAATTACAAATTGTTTGTTTTCTTCTAAATACTTTAACTTTATTTTAAAAGTAATCATTTCTAACTAAAATAGTGGGACACTGGTTTGTCATTTGTATTTTATTAAGATTTGAATACTAACAATTTATTTTAGCTGGACAAGAACGGTTTAGAACAATCACCTCTTCATATTACAGAGGGGCTCATGGTATTATTGTTTGTAATTACTATTTTTTGACGTTAAAAGATAAAAAGTGTTTAACAAAGTAGGTTGTTTATGACGTGACCGATGTTCAATCTTTTAATCATATTCGTCAATGGCTTAATGAAATTGAAGGCAATGCATCTCCAAATGTTGTCAAAATGCTCATAGGAAATAAAGCTGATAAAGATGCAACCAAAGCAGTTTCAACTGAACAAGCAGCAGAATTTGCAAAACAAGAAGGAATGAAATTCTTTGAAACATCTGCTAAACAATCAATCAATGTAGAAGCTGCTTTTCTAGAATTAGCTCAAGACATCAAGAACCAAATGAAAGAAACGCCTCGTGTTACTCCAGATAATGTTGCAATTAAGCCTGAAGTTCAACAAGAACCTCAACCAGGATGTTGTTAAAAAGTGATGCTTTCTTTTAAAATTCTAAATGACTTTTCAATTATTTAATAAAATAACTTCTTTTTTGAACAATCAACTAAATAAAAAAGAAAAAGATAAGTTAAAAGAAAATAGTTGAAGATGAATCTCCTTGTGACTTTTTGTCTTTAGAATTTAATGCTCCAGCTTAATTTAATTAGTATTTATTTGAAAAATAATATAAAGTATAAGAATAACAAACCCCACTCATCCCAATAAGCGTCATTTGCTTCATTTGAAATTCCCCAACCAAATACATCATTTTGTTGTTTTTGTTGAACTTTTGTTTCATTAATGATTTCTGGCTTTGAAGTTGGTTTTTCTTTAAGTAAAACTGTTGTTTTATTTTGTGTTTTATTCTGGAAATTTTCAGGAAGACCAATTTCTTTTAATTGTCGTTGTTTTTGATCAGCTTTTTGGAAAGTTTTTGACTGAGAAGTTGATGATTTTTTACCAATCATCTTTGTTAATCTTTCAATATCGTCATCTTCTTTAGTTGTATTGTTTTGATGAGTATTAACTGATTGATTGTCATTTGTTTTTTGTTGTTGAGAAGGAAATTCTGGATCTATTTCTTCAAAGAGAGTAAAAACATCTTCAGGGTTTTGTTGTGGTGTTACAGCATTACTTCTTTGAGGAGATACATTCCATAAATCAATATTAACTTTTTGAACTGGTTTTTGTTGATCATAAATAACATCAGCAGGTTTTTTAAGATTCAAATGAGGTGTTTCTTTTACTTCTTGTTTTTGTTCTTCAGGTTTTTGCTCTTGTTGTTGATTGTCTAGTTGTTCAGAATATTTTAGTACTGTTTCTGTTAATGAAGAAAATAATTCTCTTGCTTTATTTCTAACATTTTTGTGGTCATCAACAAGGAAAACAGAGATGTAAGGCAAAATATTACGAGCACTATCATTTGCACTAAAATCATTAATGTTATCCTTTATTCCATTGATTATTGCAATTCTCATTTCTTTGACAGCATCTTTACCACTACGAGCAATAGAACATAACAATAATCTCTTTCTTGTTTCTACTGTAAAAAATGAACAACTTTTTGAAATACAAACAACTGTGTTTGTTCTAACAATAAGACTAGGATCACCAAGTGCTTTTTCAAATCTATTTGCACACTCTAACTGTTTAGATTTATTAACTTTTTCAATTAAGACTAAAAGTGCCCTTATTCCAGCATCTCTTATTTTATCATTTTGATGGTTTGTGCATTGAATAATACTAGGAAATAATGACTCTGCAAAAGATGGAGTTATGTGTTGAGAACAATAACGTAATGACCCTAACGCACTATATTTTGTTTGGAGGTCTGATGAATTAATAAATTTAGGAATATAATTTTGTACTTGTTGTACAAATTCATCTTGTTCCAATCCACTTGAAACTTTTAACAATGACTCTACTGCACATGAAGCTTCTGGCATATTAGACCTAAACAAATCAATATAAAATGGAAGTAATTTATATCTGCAAAATAATGATGGAAGTGAAGTTTTAGTAATTGAGCTTAAGAAAGAACGACGAGTAAAATCGTCCAATGCCGAATAATTATCCATGTTATAGACAATAGTTAAAAATGGTGTTGAAACACTTGGATGAGTTAAAAAAGAAGTTATTGGTTGGGAAGCTAATGAAGAAATTAGTGCTTGAAGTGGTGCTGGAGGATTTGGATATACTTGAGAAGCCAGTTTAGAAAAAGAATAACTATCAACATATTCTGAAGATGAATCATTTGGTAAATGACCAATACTTCTATTTGATTCTATATATGTTTTGAAGTCACCTAATTGTCCTAATTGAGTAACATATTGTAATCCTCCTAATTTCCATTCTCCACTCTTTGTGACAAAAATACTATTCTTTGTAATGTTATAATGACCTAATTTAGCTGTTATATTAAGAAAATGAATAGCGTTGGCTAAAGAAAATAAACCCCATAATACCATATCTTCATTACATTTACTTGACTGAAGAAAACTAGTTAATGGATAAACTTCTTCTGTTAGTATTACTGTTGTTCTATCATTAACTACATGATCCAAGTAATTTATAATGTTTGGGTGTTTTAATGTTCTGAACCGTTTAAGTACATTCTCATTTAGAATTCTTGGATTACTTGAAGGAAATTCAAATAAACTAATATTCTTTTTATCTGAAACTTTCTTTGCATGATAAACAGTATATGTAAAATTATTTTCAGTGATAGTTTCTTGTTTTTCTTGTGACTCATATGGAAGACTTGGTCCAACAAAGGCTTTGAATAATTTCATTTGGATTTAACTATGTCTTTTTCAGTACAACAAAAACATTCATATTAATTCAATAGTTTTATTATAATATCAAATAATAAATGGAAAAGAGAATAGTTAAAGAAACTCAAAACAAGAGACAAAAATAAAAAAATCTTTTATTTTGTCAGATCTCATAAGATTATATTTCTTTCTATCATTTTTTAATCTCATTTATAAAAAATCTTAAAATCCTTTTATTTAAAAATTGTCTTTTTTTACTATTAAATACATTAATCATTTCTTTAGAATAGTTTATCAATAACATTATATAACTACTATTGATTATTAAATTTGTTAACTGGTATTGCTTTGGTTGAATATTAAATTTAAAATGTATTAATCAACTAATAATACTATTTTGTTTGTTGTTGAACTATCTAAAATCTTTTGAATAAATTTTATGAACGTTTTACTCATGAAAATGGTATTTTTGATATCTTTTTATGATAATTTTTGCTTTCACTATTAATGACTATACTACTCTTTCAATAATATTTAACAAAAATTAACTTATCATTATACTCATCTAATACCTATTACTAACATTATTATACTATTCATTAACACCAATAATACTGTTTATTATTTTTTTTATTATTCATTCAAATTAAAATTTTTTACAACCAAGTTAACATGTAAGGAAAGACAATCAATTGAAACAACAATTTTAAAAACCAATGATAATGTGTCTCTTTTATTCACTTTTCTTTGTTAAAACATTTATCAAAAAAATATCATACTTGGAATTATATTAATATATCAATACACTCTATAATTTTAATTCAATTGCAGAATAAATAACAATTTCTTTATTTTTCAAGACTTATTTTAAAGAATATTTGTACTTCAATAAATGTTTATTTAATTAATAAAAACAATAAGACTGTGTGTTATTTAATAGAAATAATAATTTTTTCAATACCAATGTACATAAGTACTAAGTAATTGCAAGAATAATCAATTTAAATAAAAAATAAGTTTTAAAATATAATAAAAATTCATAAAATATTTATAAATGAGTGTGTGTTTTGATTAAATAAAATACGATTTCTATTACCAAGTTAAAGATATCTCCTAAAAAAAATATAAAGAAGAATATATGTATTTCATTTTCACTAGAATAGTAAACCTTTGAGATTAAAGCTGAAAAAAACTAATTCATCATAAGACTTATATTTTTTAAATAAAATAAAAATAATAAAAATATAAGAAAATTATAATAAAAGAATAGTAAAAATAATAAAAACCCTTGAAAGAACTAAATGTAGATTAAGCTGGATGAGTGCTAAAGTTGCCACCGCTGTTCAAAGAGAAACATGCACAAAAACTGTTTGCCCATGTAAGGCTAGATGTCAAGCATTCAGAGCAGAAGTTATCAAAAGAACTATTAAAAATCATAAAGACATTGAAGCCGCTAAGAAAGCAGTTTATGTTGCTAAGAGAAATGCTGAAATTAATGGTGATTTATATGCTGAAGCTGATCCAAAATTAATTGTTGCCATTAGAATTAGAGGTATTAATGGAGTTTCACCAAAAATTAAGAAAATTCTTAAACTTCTCAGATTAAGACAAATTAATAATGCTGTCTTTATTAAGGCAAATGCTTCAACTATTAAAATGTTAAGACTTGTTGACCCATATGTTACTTATGGTTATCCAACTTTAGAAACTGTACAAAAACTTATTTACAAACGTGGAGCTCTTAAGATCAATGGAAATAGAATGCCAATTACTTCTAACTGCATGATTAAGAAAGCACTTGGAGATAAAGATATTGTCTGTGTTGATGACCTTATTCATGAAATTTATACTGTTGGAAAGAACTTTAAGGAAGTTAACAATAAACTTGCTCCATTCAAATTAAACGGTGCTAAAATTGCTGAAAAGAACAAGAAGATTCATTTCATTCTCGGAGGAGGATTTGGAAATCGTGAATTACTCATTAATAAACTCATTGCTAAAATGAATTAAATTGACTTACTCATGAAAGGAGCTTTTGCTAATTGCATTTCTTTTGTGCTTTTTATTAAAAAATTTAATTTTTTCTATAAAATAAATTGAAAATAAAATAATTAATAATAATAAAATGATATGTTATCTCTTATAATTAGATTTAATAAAGTCAAATAAATCGTTTAATGTATATGTCATGGTAGTAAAGGAAGTTATAGTTCTGTACTTTGCCATATCAGTGATAATATCTTCCATTTTATGTTGACAATCAATTACGGATTGATTTTCATCATCAATAACACTCTATAAATTAAATAAATAAGATGGTATAGTAATAAACAAATAAAAATAAACAAACTTTTAAATAGTAGTTTTGTTGAATTTGAACTCGGTTTGCCTTATCAACTATTTGCCATAATTTAGTTTGTTCATCAGCAACTACTGCAGTTATATCACAAATTCTTTTTGTTGTTTTTTCAATAGTGTCTGATGTTGTATTTATTAATCTTTCTTCTATTGTTGCTTGTTTCATTTCTTTTCAGAAAAAACTAAAATTTATTAGTTTTTTCTCTTATTAGTTTTTAATATTTTTTATTTATTGAAAATTCCAATAAAGTTTATTGACTCTTCATCTTATAATGAAAGGATGATTAATTATCAAAAAGACATATGCTTATAAACACAATTGAATTAAAAAGAATTTTAATTCATAAATAACTAATAAGTTATTCAGTTATAGAATGAGAAGTTTATATTACCATATATGTGATCTAAAGAATGCATTTACATTCAAAAAACATTTAGCATCAACACACTCCTCATTTTTTACTCGAACAGGGGATTTTCAATTTCTTATTGATGGAGAAGAGACAATGCAAAAAATTGCTGAATCACTTGTTTCTGCAAAAAATACAATTAAAATAATGGGATGGAGAATGGATCTAAACGTTCCTATGATTAGAACTAATCATTACCTACAAGGAAAAACAATTCTTGATATTTTAATGATTGCTGCAAAACGTGGTATAAAAATTTATGTATTATTATATAAATCCCCTTATGTTAGTCATTTAACAAAAAACCAAACTACAACAAAAATTCTAAATTCTGTACATCCTAATATTGTTTGTATTTGCGAACGTTGGTCATTAATATTTTCTCACCATGAAAAAGTTATTATTATTGATAATGAAATTGGGTTTGTAGGTGGAATTGACCTTTGTGTTGGGAGGTATGACACTCATGACCACCAAATATCACCTTGTGTCAAACAAGATGATTATTATATTTATCCTCCAATTGATTACAACAACATCCAAATTCATAAAACTAATTCACTCCAATATCCAAGAATGCCATGGCATGATATTCACTGTATGGTTAATGGAACAATTTTAAATGACCTCCAATATCATTTTCACCAACGATGGCAATTTTATAATGGGTCTATTGAGTCTATCTCTGTAAACACATACGAAGGTTCAGATGAAATGAAGTTATGTAGATCAATATGTAATAGTTCTGGATCTCAAAACGAATGTAGTATTTATGGAGAAATGCTTAGGTTAATAAGAAAAGCAGAACATTTTATTTATATTGAACAACAATATTTTTTAAGTAATTGTGGTAAAAAAAATATTTCAAATAAACTTGGTCAGGCAATTGCTAAAAAGATAGTTACATCTTTTGAAAGAGGAAAAAAGTTTTTTGTTGTCATTGTGTTACCAGTGTTTAGTGAAGGTCAATTAAGGCAAAAGTCAGTTAGAAAAATTTTAGAATACACTAGAAAATCTATATATGATGGGACTAATAGTATTTTTAATATTGCTAAAAAGAATGGTGTAATAGATATTTCCAATTATTTGTGTGTTTGTAATTTGTACAACTATGGATGGTGTGAAAAATATGGCATAACTTCAAGTCAAATTTATGTTCATTCAAAATTAATGATAATAGATGACAGGTATGCATTAATAGGCTCTGCTAATATGAATGATCGTTCATTACGTGGAGATCGTGATACTGAAATTGCAATTTCTATTAAAGAAACGAATCAAATAAAAGAGTTATTTGGAAGAGAAGAAATCAATGTCTGTAAAAAAATTTCATCATTGAGAAAAAAGTTATGGATGGAACATCTTGGATTCAAAGAACATTTATCCTTGCTTGTTGAAGACGCTTATGAATGCTTTGAAACAATTTGGAAACAAGTGGCTCATGAAAATAGATTGATTTATGAACAAGTCTTTCCATTATTTCCAAGAGATGCTTTTACATATTATATCAATACAGAAAAACATACTCATCCTATTGCAGTTAAAGAAAAACTACCTTTACTAGTTAAGGTTCAAGGTCATCTTGTACTGGCATCGTTAATATTTGGTTCAAAAGAGCATCAACGAAGTTATGGATTAACTGCTATTGTTACTTAATTATATATTTTATTTAAATATAAAAAAGAAAAAAAGATCAGAACAAATCGGTCTTTTAAAAAAGGTTTACTTCTTCTTTCTAGATGCTTTCTTCATTTCTTTCTTCTTATAGTCTTTGAATGAATGGCACATTCTCCATTTCTTCTTATGTTCCTTTCTAGCCTTTCTTGGTGCTTTAGTCTTCTTATCCAAACCAGCTCTAATTAATTGATGTTTTGGAACAAATTTCTTTAAGGCTGAAAGTGTGTCATAAATCAATGCAAATCCTGATGTCTTTCCTCCTCCGTACTTAGTAACAAATCCATTAAGAACGATAGTTTGGACGTCTTTTACCTTGTACATTTTAGCAAGCTTTTCTTTAATTTCAGTGAATTTTGGTTGAACAATTCCTGGATGATAAATATCAACAACTACTTGCTTTCTGCAAAGTAATGGATTAACAATAAGATTTCTTGTTCTGATTGTAACTTCACTCTTTTGAGTTGCCATTGTTACAATTACGATTTGTTAGTTTTTTTACCCTATTGTTTTTTTTCTGGGGTTTTCATTTCTTATAGTAATAAAATAAATTCAAAATTAATGAAATAGTTTAATTAATAACTAGTAATTTTAAGATTAAAAAAACAAAAATTGCAATGAAAATAAAAAATAATGTTTTTCTTGTAATGTGTTATTTCACACATTTTTTAATACCATTGAATTGATTATTTTGAACACTAGACAGTTATTTTTTTACAGCTAAAGTGTTTCAGTATGAATAAGAAGAAAAGAATTTTAATAATAACAAATAATAAGGAATATTAAAAATTAAAAATTAATTTCAATTATTAAAAAAAACAATTCTTTAAAAATATAATAATTTTATTATAAAAATTAATCTGGACTTAATGTGAACTAGAAAACAACCCTAACAGTTTACCAGTCAAGATGCACCACTTCAGTAATATTAAAGACGTTGTCGCTATTGATTTCATTAAAGCCTATGCTGAACATCTTAAGAAATCAGGAAAGCTTGAAATCCCAGAATGGGTTGATACCGTCAAGACTGGTATGTGCAAAGAACTTGCACCATTAAATCCAGACTGGATTTACATTAGAGCCGCTGCTATTGCAAGAAAAGTTTATTTGAATAATGGTATTGGAGTAATGGCTCTAAGAAGAGCTTATGGTGATCAATATAACAAACACTATAACCCATCTCATAGAACTCTTGGATCAGGAAAGGTTAACAGATATATCCTTCAACAACTTGAAAAGATGGGTTTAGTTGCTAAGGCTCAAAGTGGAAGAACTCTTACCAAAGAAGGAAGAAAGGATATGGATAAAATCGCTTTCCAAGTTTATAAGGAACATGAAGCTAAAGTTACTCCAATGATCCTTATGCCAATGAACTAATTGAATTACTGGTAACTGTGATATTAATTAGTGTTTTCTTTAATAAAAATATTTATTTGAATTTTAGTGCCATAAAATGCTGGAAATGTGTAATTTTATTAATGAGTATATATTTATTTGAAATTGAATAGAGTTTATATGAAATAAAAATTAAATTAAAGGAGATGATGATAATGCTACACAATAACGACATACCAAGGAAGTATCATTAATGTAATCACTACAAGCAGAATGTATTCCATGACCACATGGATAAATTGTGACTGGTTGACCATCAAAAAGCGAGTTTTTACAAATCAAACATGTTCCTTTAACTGTGACAGTAGGATAACTTTGAAGTTGACTAAATCCAGGTTTTGGAGGTGTAGTAATAATGCTATTAAGTTCATTAAAGTGAAGATGAAATAATTGAGATTTATTTAAAAAATTATTATAAGAACGATGAAAAATTTTTAAAATTTGAATATGTTGTTCTTTTCCTTTTTTGTTTTTATAACTTCCAATTTGAATGTTTCTTATAATAATTTCATTTTCAATTTCTTTATTTATTAATAATTCAAAGAATTTTTCTAATTCATTATCATTAATTGGATAAGAACAAATATTAATAATTATCATTTCTTGATAATTTTCAATTTCTTCTTTTGTACGTTCATTTAATATGTTTCTAAAAATTTCATATTCTTTCATTTTATATAATAGACTTAGTACTTCTCCTTGGTTAGAAAGTTCTTTAAGCTCTTCTATTTTATTTGTATTATTTCCTTCTAAAATACTTTCAATGGATTTGTTCATTACTTTTCTTTTATTTTTTTTAAGTTTTAGTTTTTCTGAATTTTGTTTTTTTAATTTTTCTAAATGTTGGTATTTTTTTATCTTCAAATAAATTATGTTTCACGAAAATGAATGGTTGGATTTTGATAATTCTTAAATTTTTTAATGTATTTTAGTATTACTCTCATTATACTTAAATTTAATTCATTTAATGTTATAATGACACTATCATAATTGATATATCTTTCATTCCACGAGGTGTTTTGTTTTATTTTCCATTTCTCTTTATTTAATATCACCTGTGTTTCATATAACATTTCAAATATTCTAAAGTAATATCGTTATTTGGGTATATTTCATTTTTTGGTTCTTTCTTCCTTATTCTAATTTTCTTGTTAGAATCAAACATGATTTTATTTGTATTGATTCTGACCCTTTCTTCCTTATTAAATTTAATTCTTTCTTTGATCATTCTCATCATATATTTTAGGTATTTTATTCTTTCTAGTGATTTGACTTTTATTCCTTCTTCATCATGTTCTTTTAATTTCATGATGCACTTTATTCTGTACCATTTCATTGAATATATCTTCTAGTCTATTGATTTTCTTTATATTTCTTTTATTTCATCATTTTTATCTCCTATTATTTTATTTTGGAGATAGAGGTACATACAAATTGAAATCATCTTCATATCATCTTGCAGATAATCAATTCTGCTTCCTGACAATATCAATCTATTATTAATTTCTATTATTAATTCGTCAGCTTCTTTTCTTTTCCAGTAGTAATTAATGTTTGTACATTTTTCTACTTTCATTTCTTTCATTTTATTGATGAGAGTGTTAAGGTATTCTTCATCAATTTCAATAGAGTTATTCTTTAATATGATGTTTTTTCTTTATTATTGAATTACACTCTACTCTTCTATTATATCATTTACTTTCACTCTAATGTATTGTTTAGTATTTTCTTTTATTTTATGTGATATTTTAATATATTTAATATATTCTTTTTCATTATTGACATTGATGTTTATCACTTTTATTATACTTTCTATTTGTTCATTTCTTAATTTCTTATATAATTTCTTATTTAACCAATTAATTGCAAAACAATACAACACTTCATTTAAAATTCTATTTCTTTATTTTTTGTTTCTTCTTGTCTGATTATCATCTCTTGTTTTTTGACAATCAGTGCTTTGCTTTCTTCTTCGATTTCCACTACTGTCTTTTTCATAGGAGTAGTTTCGTTCATCTTCATCGTTCCTGATGATGTTTTCCTCAATATTGGTTGTGTATTTATCACAAGCGTCATCGTTTTCTTCTTCTCTAGTTCCTTCTGTGAAATAAAATTTTCAATATCATCTTGTTGTTTTGATATTATTTGTTTTTGTGTCTCATTTTCTTTTTGTGTATTATCTAATTCTTCTCTTGTTATTTCTGCAATCTCATGACTTATTACTGCTGCTTGTTGAATTTCAGAGATTTGTTTTTCTTTATCTCTTAATTCACTTTTCAGCTCCTCAACTTTCTTCTCTAGTACTTCTGCTTTTTCCTCTAACACACTATTCTTCTTCTCCAGTATTTCTCCTTTTTTCTTCAGCTCTTCTGTTTTCTCCTTTTGTTCATCCTTTTCCTTCTGTAACTTCCCTTTAGTGGATTTTATACTTCGAATGGTTTCTTCGTTGTTATTCATTTCCATGATTTTCCTTCCTTCTATCTCATTTATTTCACCTTGTAATTTTATATTTTCTTCTGTTAGTTTTTCATTTTCTTTCTCAAATTCTTTTCTGACTATTTCTTTTGCTTTTTCTATCATTTCATCTGAGATGGCTTGTTCTTCTTCCTTTCTTTTTGCTTGATATTCTTTAATTTCTTCTTCTAATTTTTTAATCTGTTTTTGTAGTACTTTAATTTCTTCTTTTTCTTTATAATTTTCCTCTTCATTCTTTGTTTCTTCTTTGTTTTCTTCTTGTGTTTTTCTTTCTTTTTCTGTTTCATTTATTATTTTAGCCATTTTACATCTTTCTTGTAATTCTTTGATTGGATTTCTACTTTTGATTTCTGTTTCAATTGCTTGGATATCTTCTTCCCATCCTTTTGTTCTTTCCTTAAATTCTTCTTGCATTTCTCTCAATTCTCTTTTTCTTTCTAATTGCATATACTTCTTGAAGAATATCATATCATCTTTTTCTTTTACCTTCATATTTTTTAAGTATTTCTGAATATTCTCCTTTTCCCATTTACTTGTTATTCCTTTTATTCTTTCTTGTATATCTTTTATTGTTAACCGTCTATGTCTATTGTTTGTATATTCATTATTATTCCAGTATTTATCCTGTTTCTTATTTGTTTTTCTTTGTGTCTTTCGTCTTATAATCCATTTTTCCTTAGTATTTCATTTATCATAATCGTAATATCTTTTATTATAATCGTAATATCTTTTATTGTTGTTATTGACATTAAACATTGTATTTCTATGTCTTGTTTGGTTTTCTTTACAAGAAGTCAAGGCATTACTCCATAACAATGGCAATAAAATTTGTTGTATATCCTGCATTGGAAAGGGATCTAATATTGAATTATAAAGAAATAAACTAAAACTAAAATTTATTCTATTTCATTTTATATTATAATTTATACCATCAATATAATATAAAATGATGATGGATTGAAATGGAATTATCTTTAACGAAAATTGAATATTACAAATATTTAAAATTGAATATTCATAATCATATGAAATAAAAATAAAATATGATAATAACTAAAAGTGTATTACTAAATAAAGGCAACGAAAAAAGCGAATAATTGAAAAAGAAGAGAATGAATGATATAAAAGAATAAAAAGAAAGTAAGAAGTTGGATATGATGAAGAAAGAATAAAAGTAGAAAGGAGAGAAGATAAAAAGAAAGAAGATAAAGTGTAATAAAACAAAAGAGATGATAAAAGAAGAAAAGAATGAAAAAAAAAATAAAGGATGCAAATTTTATTGAAACAAATAAAAAAAGTGCAATAAAAAAGCGCAAAATTTAATGATGCAAAATATTTAGCAACATATTTTATTGATGCAAAATATTTTGAAATAAAAATAATTCATCATTTGATATTATTATATTTGATAATAAATTATATTATGTATTAAATACATCATATTTCTTTATTATTTATCTTTCTTTTCTTTTTATTATTTCATATATTAAATTATTATTCATTCATTTATTATTTATATTTCATTTATTAAATAAAATGAAAATGAAATTGTAAAATATCAATCAATTAAATATTCATGAATAATAATTTATTAATATTTA